TGCTACAGGTCCTTGGGCGTCGCGTAATGGGGGGGCAATGAACTTGGGGGGAACGAGGGCTGCAGAAAGGGGGCCCTGTAGGGCCCCTGGAGGGACCCTTTCGGGCCGAATAGGTGCCCTTCGGGCCCGAGAAGTGCACCTTCCTCCCCCCCTCAGGTATCGCCCCCCAGTTAAGCGACGCCCCACCGCCGCTGAAGAGCCAGGGGAACAAAAAAGTGATATAACCATCAAAACTCGGAGGTCCGCGCGGATTTCTCGGATCGGCGCTGGACCCCCCGCCCTGGCGCGCGGAGCGCGCCAGGGGCGGCGCCGGAGGCGCCCCCGGGGGGGCCCCAGCGCCGATCCGAGAAATCAGCGCGGACCTCCGAGTTTTATGCTTATGCCACTTTGTTTGTTCCCCTCCGAGGATTTGTTAGCTGCCCGGCGGACGTTGCTGTGAGCCGACCACCGCACCACACCGGAGGATCTATAAAAACCAAGCGTGGCCGCGAGGATTGCTTGAGTGAGTCTGCAGGAAAAAATTGTTCCCCTCAGAACGCCCAGGTGTGAAGCAGCTGCGTCGCCCGGCTCTCCGCGGTGCTGCAGAGGTCCGCCGCGCCCGGGCTCGCCTCGCGCCGCCAGGCTCGAGGGGCCCCGGGCAGTTGGCTCGGGGCCACCGACGGGCGGGGGATCTAGGCTGCGGGGGGGAGGAGGAGGAGGAGGAGGAGGAGGAGGAGGAGGAGGAGGAGGAGGAGGAGGAGGAGGAGGAGGAGGAGGAGGAGGAGGAGGAGGAGGAGAGGAGGAGGAGGAGGAGGAGGAGAGGAGGAGGAGGAGGAGGAGGAGGAGGAGGAGGAGGAGGAGGAGGAGGAGGAGGAGGAGGAGGAGGAGGAGGAGGAGGAGGAGGAGGAGGAGGAGGAGGAGGAGGAGGAGGAGGAGGAGGAGGAGGAGGAGGAGGAGGAGGAGGAGGAGGAGGAGGAGGAGGAGGAGGAGGAGGAGGAGGAGGAGGAGGAGGAGGAGGAGGAGAGGAGGAGGAGGAGGAGGAGGAGGAGGAGGAGAGGAGGAGGAGGAGGAGGAGGAGGAGGGGAGGAAGGAGGAGGAGGAGGAGGAGGAGGAGGAGGAGGAGGAGGAGGAGGAGGAGGAGGAGGAGGAGGAGGAGGAGGAGGAGGAGGAGGAGGAGGAGGAGGAGGAGGAGGAGGAGAGGAGGAGGAGGAGGAGGAGGAGGAGGAGGAGGAGGAGGAGGAGGAGGAGGAGGAGGAGGGAGGAGGAGGAGGAGGAGGGGGGGGAGGCCTTGAGCCAGAGGCGGCGATGTATCGCCGACGGATCGGCGCGATGGGCCCCCGGTGGCGCCTTCGCACGCTCCTTACCAGCCTCTAACGTATCCCTATCCCTAAGATTGCCAGGCCAAAAGGCGATGACAATCTTAGGGATTCGCCCTCAAAAAATAAGGGAATCCCTAAGATTGGCATCGTGATGAGGAGGTGCCCAGCATAGGGATAGGGATATGTTCCAGGCTGGTAAGCTCCCGGGCGGGGTGGGCTGCCTCGCCCCCATCGGCGAGGCATCGCCGAGTCCAGCTCGGTGCCTCGCCTCCTGAGCCTATCCCCCCCGCAACGCTGCTGATGGGCTTGTTTTCCGCCACCACCACCACCGTAAGGTGGAGGGGGGAAGAAGGTGAAGGAGGAGGAGGAGGAGGACGAAGAGGAGGAGGAGGAGGAGGAGGAGGAGGACCAGACGACGGCATCCAGACGTTACTCTCAGACCACCCAAACATCTACTGGACCATTCACAGAGCAGCCAGCAACAGCGACCACTGTGCATATCCATTGATCGCATCCACTGGATTACACTACGCAGCACACATCGCACACCAAAACGAGCCACTCACGACTACCAACATACAGCAGCAGACCAGCACCAGGCCCAAGCACACCGACGAAAAGGCCAACTCAACGAAGATCCACATCAATATTAGCCACATACAACGCACAACCAGCAAACATCGATGGATCCAACGAAGAGACATCATACGACAAGAGGGCACTGCAGCACATGACGAGAGGACAGCACCTACCTGCACAAGTACTGGCTCACCAGGCCCATCTAATGGGAATGCAAGAGACAACAACAAACAACGACTTCATCACAGCAAAACATTTTTCTAATTTGTCACTCCACAAAACCCATCGAAGCTTGCATCCAGTCGTACTTGTCAACACGTCAATACCTTACGCGACTACACCAGTATTCATTTGTTTATCAAAAACCAGCACTTCGGAGTATTACACTCATCGCGTCGCCTCGTGATCATCAAGCTCCACGAACCATTCATTAGCGATACCATGTACGTAGTACATACCCCACACGTCAGTCAAGACCCAAACCACCCAACCAAATGGTGGTAAACACTTTGCACAATAGCGACCATATGGCCGCCAACCGTTATTTTCGCTGGCTGCAGTGCACACATCTCAGGGTCACCCATACCCCCACCCTCAACCCAACATGAACAAGACGACGACGC